CTCTCATAGCTTGGCTGAAGAATCCAAGGACTGGTTTAATTAATCCAAATGTTAACACATCGAACCAGCCTGTCCTTAGTGTAATTGCATGAGGCAGGTACTGTCACTCTGATCATTCTTCAGACAACGAAGTTGAGTGGAGGAAGATTAAGGAACTTGTTGGAGTCTGCATTGAAGGTGAGATCCCAATGGCTCCTGAATTCATTTTTGCTCCTATCACACTCTGCATGCTGAGAGACAGAGTGCAGGGTCATTGCTAAGTCGTAGGTATCCCGTAATCACCCTCCAAGCTAATCTTGGATGTTGTCCTCTATGTCCCATCTTCCCAAAGATCATTCATGTGTTGCCTCTTCATATAGAATTTGCAGACACTATCCACATGTCTGGTTTCAAGGTACTTGGGATTGTGAGTAGAGAATACACAGTTGAGAAAATACATCTTATTCTTGCCAATACAGGGAGACCTTGAACAATTACACAAGCAATTCACTAAAGAATTAAAATGTTTTGAGCATCCTTCTTTCAGCATTAAATCTTAGGATGCACAAGCCTAGGGATCATTTCTTATGAATATTAGTTCTTCATTTCAAAGTTCTGGCTTGTATAATCTTTTGAGTTTTTTATTGTGTGTGATTTAAAACATGGTTGTTTCGCATTAGACTTCTCCATGGAATATAATTAGGTTTTTACCTAGGGGTTCCCACTCTAGCCATTCCTGTCAGAACATATATAATGTACCTAAAACACCAGATGTTGGCTTGCATAGGTGGCATTGCTTTTTGGAGCTGGTTTTAGGAGGCAGATATTTCAAACAGGAAGAAGAGCCTTGGCCAAGAAGTCAAAAGGTCAGCAAAAAAGCTCTTCAACTGCTATAACTCTGAATTGTCTCTGCAAAGTCAAAATTTGGCTTCTCTGTATCTGAAACTTCACCTCTGTAGAGTAAATGGATTGACATAGGTAAACATGAAGGGCCATTATTCACTGTGTCAAGACTGGGGAACAAAGAAGCCATGAACCGTTACAACACAGACTGGTGACTTCAGGCCTGATCCCACAACCTGCATCAGGGTACACCTTCTAAAAGCTCTCTTTGGAACACAGTTCAGACACACTCTGTGCTATGATTTGAAAGCCCTCAACGGATAGGACACAGTTCCTCAGTGCTGTTTGTCACTGGTGTAATGTTGAACTAAATCATGGGTTATGATGGTTTCTACCACCCTGAAAAGTTTTTATTTATTTATTTATCTATTTGAAAACAGATCTTTCTTTTGTCTGGGGACTTAATCCAGAGGAATTCCCTGTGGGGGGATTTGCTAGGAGTGGTGTTTTGGTGGCTGTTCTCTGCCACATCATGTTCATATTTCCATGCTGCGTTATTTCTGTCTAACACGTTCCTCCTCACCTCAGTGCCCAGTGGTGTCTTGCAGCTACTTCATTCTAATGAGCCTCATTGCAGGGAACTATGCCTCCTTCCTTTCTGTGCTGACCACTGCTGCCCATCACATAGTATATGAAGAGCATTTTCTATGTTGTGAAAGAACAGGACAGGGAATATTGAGGAATTATGTTAAAGGTGCACAGAAAGTAGTCAGGACAGAACGCTGCTTTGGGAGGCAAGAGTTCGGGGCACTGATAGGAGAGTATAGGATGTCCCTGATTTGGATCACAGCACTGAATTGCAGTGTGGTCCAGAGCCACACAGGTCCTCTTAGGGCTATGTATCACAGTGAATTTCCAAGTTCCTTCCTAAGATCCCTCGTCCTTCCTCTTTCATGGAATATCCTCAGGGCTTGACTGCCTAAAACAGACTTCACTTTATTCAGAGCTTTGTCATAGGCATGGGATCTCATTACATAGACAAGAAATTCCTGTCCACATTAGAAAGGCAGAGAACTTCTCTCAGATGTCACAAATATGTGACACACTTCTGTTCTTACTCCCATACTCTCTGTGGAAAACATCACTTACCAATTACAGCTTCCTTCCCACTGGGTTCAGACATCACTTCAGAGTCCTCAACACAGACTTCCAAATAGAAGGACTAATCCATTAATAATGGCACTGAGGACAAAAAATAATTTCCCAGATGAGCGTTTGGGTTATCTCATCTACAGTATATTTTAGAATTCAGTCTTAGTACCCTCCATGACTACATAGAAACTGGTGTCAGGCTTGGCTCTAAGACAGACAATAAAGTGCTAGGAGCTGAAAAGACAGACAGAGGCAGATATAAAAGTTGTAGGCCCAGACAAAGTTTCAGAAGTGTTTGGTAACAGTGATATTCAGGCTGGTACTTTAAGTCATATACTGTGGGAGCATATTGCCCATCAGACATGGCCAGGGTGTCCCCCACTTGGATATGTCTGGGCCCTATACAGATAGACTATTTCATGTCTCCTAACATGTCTGGGTATCATTTTAGCTTCTTGGCTTTCATTCAGATTGAATCTTAGGTATAGACAGGATCCTGTCTACCCATCATTTTCATCATGCAGGTATCATTACGAACTGCCAGTCTATTAAGAATTAATATATAATAGGCTGGGTAGTCTCTAGCCTTCCTTAGCCATGTTTTACTAATGGGGTTTCCAAGTAAAGGATCACAAGTAAGTGAACAGTCCACCAATTCATTTTTAATCAGAGGCTTTGGCCAGGTTTGCAGCATGTCAGGACACCAAGACATTCTAGCTTTTAGAGTGGCAGCTTTCATCTTTTGTCAAAAGCACAATAATGTTAATAAAGGCACAAAAAGAAAGTATCCTTATTATTCTTTAGGAGAAATCTGACTACAATGAAGGCAATCACAAACTGACTCATGAATTTTAGGGAATGATCAAATTCTTCATTTTCATATATACTTAAAACCACATGGAAAATGTGAATCTCAACACATAACACCGGGTTGTCACTATACTGACTCTGAGCAAAGAGTGGGCCATCAACTGTCCTCATTAGGAAGACAGTATGGTACAGTAGAAAGGGATTTGAATGTGACATGCTTGGGTTTAAAACTCAGATCTATCACTTACAATTTATGTGAACTTGGAACATTAGTTTTCATTATTTAAATCTCAGTTTTATTTCTCCAGCATGTGAATAAAATTGTTTTTGTTTTAACTATGTAAATATTTCTCTAGCATAATGAGAAAACTCTGATATTATATTGTCTTATTGGAATAGCAGTATAGATGCAGTACTTATTGCTAATATCTTGATAACAATACAATTGCTGTGATAAAACACTATGACCAAGATGACTTACAGAAGAAAGATTTTATTTGAACTCATGGTTCCAGAGGGTTAGAATCAAAGATAGTGGAGTGAAGTCATGAAAGCTGGAGTATCGTAGCTGAGAGCTCACATCTTGGACTTCATACAAGAAACAGAGAAGGCACGGGTGAAACTGTAGTTATCTTTAAGCTCTCAAAGGCCACCTCTAGTGACACATTTCCTACAACAAAACAATACTTCCTAAGCCTCCCTAACGATGCTACCAACTGGAGGCCAAGTGTTCAAATGCCTGAGACTGTGGATGATAGCTCACAAACTACCACAGCTGGGAAGAGCTGTGATGCAGCAGCTAAGGCCTGCTTTGAAACCTATGGAACAGATGGGAGAGTGTGATTAGTATTCAGCATAACACTCAGAGCCAGGTCATTTCCACTGTAGGATCAATGACTGTTGGTTTTCTTATCTGAGCAGCATGGACATAAGGACATGGGACTATAGCACCAGGGTTTGTCACACAGATGAATACAATTGCTCTTCAACATAGGCCAGCTTCCTTTCTAGACAATATAATGATAATTTTATATCATTTAGCTCAGTGACCTTTGATGTCAAGGATAAACACATCAGAAATAGTATATTTCATGTTCAAAGCGCAATCATTTAGAAGGACTGTCTAATGGAGCAAATGGACAGATTCATAATTTTTAGGCTTGAATGCTGCTTGTATCTGCAGCTGGTACCTTGGTTAAAGATGCTTATTACACATGGGAACTGGCTTAAGGATGCTCAGAGCTCTGGAAATGAAAATACCTAGTCTAAATGACTTCTGGGTCCTCTTTTCTTTCTTTTATTCTTCACCTCAGTTATTAGGAATCTTCACATAGAAATATGTACATGGTTCTTTTGTTTTTGTAATACTTGTTTTTTAGAAAATAATTTTCTTTTGCTTTATTATGATTATTGTTTTCCTTAATTTTTTCAGTCAGGTTTATTGACTTCATAATCTTGTATGGAAGATGCTATTCAGTCATTCATTCATTTATTTGTTCACACATAAGCTATAGTACTTAAAACCAAAAGGTTTAAAGTCAGAGTTGGGCAGATTTGAATATGACTCCTTCCATAGTATAATTATGTGAATGGAGGAAATGACTCAGTACCTCTCTCTTTACACATAAGCTTGGACTGTAGTAAAAGCTAATTCGCAGTCAGTGCACAGATTCAGGGAGATGACATAATATAGTACTTAACATAGTGTCTGGCTTACAACAAGCTCTCAAATCATCTCATTGCTGATCCACTTATAGTTAGGATATTGGTAGAGGAGAAGAGTGCAAACATCTATCCACATCTTGAGAATGGTAATCACAGACCATGCTGGCCCTTGGGGCCGAGGTTTAGGGATTTTGTAATGAAGAGCGGAAATGAACATTTTCTCCTCTATTTGTTTTAAACTCCTAGAATCTAGAGCCTGTGATCTAAAATGTCCAAATCCAGAGAAATCTCTGAATCCTCCAAGATCTACCCATGGGTCCCGGCTCATCTAGGTTACCTGATTTTAGACCCCATATTATAGGATCACAAACTAACAGGTCTCAGAGAGCAATTCCACTCTTGGGAGTCTTGTTAATTAGCCTCGTGAGCAGTAACTGATTGCATTGCTGGTGCAGCCTTTTCTGTGTAGCCAGCTCTCTAGTCTCACCAGCCTTTCTCTTGAGGCCAGTGATGAATGTGGTTTAAATGAAAAATGTTGTATGTGCATTCAGCGTCAATGAAGATGTCATTAATACAGTTCTGGGAAGACAGATACTGCCAACCTGCTGGAATATCCACATGTAGGACTGATCTCCGGACTGGGAGGCACTCAAAGGCAACAGGCTCAACCTGCATTGGAGATTGAGTCCATCTGTCCTATGGTGACCAGCGTAGTCTCCACAAGTTTGACAGTAAGGAAATGTCCAGTCTTGACTCCTACTATGGCTTCTCTGTCTCTGTGTAATGTTTTGATTGTTTCGTCTATTTTAGAATATCCACTCAGTGCTGCTCATTTAGAGGCTAGTGATTATGAATACAAGAAAAAAATCTCACTGCACATCGATAGTTTTCCAGGTTTCAACAGGACAATTGTGGGTTTATGGAGATCTCTATATGCAGGCAAAACCTGTTCTCCCAGGTATTCTCAATTGTGTGATAAGCCCATTTCTTTGATCAGACCTGAATCCCAGTTCCACTTTGGATCGGGTCTTCAGCCTTCTTCAATGAGCTAAGTACACTTTCCTCATACATAAATTGGAAGCCCTGAATATTTATATATTTACCTAAAATATTTGTAGTCATGGAAAGATAGTTCTGGGATTAAAAGCATTTGCCTCTTCAGCCTTGTGATCAGAGTTTAATCCTTGGAACCCACTGGGTAGAAGGATAAAAGTGTTTTTTGTCTTTCGTCTCTGTTTCTTTCTTGTTTCAACTCCCCCACCCCTTCTTTAATAAATTAAAGAAACAAAATTTAGATAGCTTGTGGTTTGGGAAAGCATGAAGTTTAAATAGCCAATTTTTAGATGCTTGACACTGTGTTTGGTAGGTACCAAGTAAATATAAGCATCAGAGATTATTATGGTAACTTGTGTCATTGCTGTGAGGGCAATCAATCCTCTGGAAGTGTTGTGATTAACTCAAAGAGGACCAACACATACTCCTTACTTGGGACATGCTCATCTGTTTTCAGGAGTGAACAAACAAGGTTTATATTTTTTATCTTACATTTATGGACATTTCAGTCCATGATTGTTTGGCTCTGGTGGCACATCATGGTGGGAATGTCTTAGGGAGCAAACACACTTCATAACCAGGATGTGGAAGTGTGGAAGTGAGGAACAGGAAAAGGCCTGGGATCCCACTACACCTTTCAAGACCCTATCCTCAAAAATCAGGAAATAGTCCACTAAAGTCCACTTCCTTTTTTTCTTTCTCACCACTTTTACCCTCTTAAAAGTGTTTGAAAAGTTATTCTTTGACACTTTATGCATGTACACAATGTATTTTCATTATGTTCGCCTCACATTACCCTTAGTTATCCCTTTCTAACCACCCACTTCTTCCCAACAAGACCCTATCCTATTTTCAAGTCTTATTTTAACAACCCACTGAGTTTAATCACGGTTGCTTACATGAACACAAGCGGGTGTGGGGGGGGGTGGCATGGCTATTTGCTGAACTCAGGTGCCTCACCAGGAGCTACTGAAGGAACTGACTCTTCCTCTCTCAGCAGCCATTACCAGCTAATAGATACAGAGGGAGGGGTGAAGCCTCATGAGCCTGTCTCCCATCTATGATATCATGATGATGAACCACAATTTCTGACCCAAGTTTCTTCTACTTCCTAATAGCCCCAAACTGGTGACCAGTCCTCTAATAGCCCCAAACTGGTGACCAGTCCTACAGGGACCTTTAGGGACACATCAGATGCAAGTTACTGAAAGGCTGTCTGGAGGGACGGCTCAGGATTTAAGATGCGCACTTTTCAAAGAACCAGGGCTCAGCTCCCAGCATCCATATGGCAGCTCACAACTGTCTGTAACTCCAGTATTAGGAAATCTGATGCCCTTTTCTGGCATCCTTGAACACCAAACACACATGGTTCACAGACATCAAAACACAAATATAAGATAAAATTATTAGAAAAGAAACCCCGAATTGTAGAAGAATCTATATAAACAATGGAAAAAGCAAGGGCCTGCCTGCTTCTCTATATTAGTTTCACACTGGTCCTTTCTTGTACGAGCTGTGTCCCAAGCACACTGACCAGCTTCCAGTTCTCTGTCTATGACAAACTCCATGGAGATGTTATACAAGGGAACTTTTCTTTGGGGTATGATCTGCTTTTCCATATAGATGGATACACTTTCCATGGTTTCCTCCTTTTCCTCTGTCATAACCTGCTTTTCAAAACATCACTTCCCTGAGAAAGTGTTTTTGATCGTCCATGAAAATAATGATGAATCTCCTGCACCTTATGCTACCCTTGCTGTTCACAGCACTCAACAGAATGTGCAGTCCCACGGCTGCTTGTCTGTGTTTTAGCTTCATTGACATTTATTATATTCCTGCTAGATGTTCAGAAGGTCACCCAGGGAAAAAACACCCCTGTTCAAGTAACAATCTTTTTTACTATATTTATTGTGTTCATGTGTATGTGTGTGTGTGTTGTACATGTGTGTATATATGTGTCTGTGGTGCATGTGTGCATACCTGTGTTGTGTATGTGCATATCTGTGTTGTGTGTGTGTGTGTATGTCTGTGGTATGTGTGTGTGTGTGTCTGCACTTTGTGTGTGTATGTGTGTTATAAATAAGGAACATCCCATGACATTTTCTTCTTGGGCTTACTTATCTTGTCTTTTGTTTATTGCTAATAAAGGACCATTATGATAGAATGAACATTATATCACGTTTTATTATATTGCTTTGTCTTAGGCAGAATCACAGGAATGAAGTTGCAGTCAAAAAGTAAGTATATACCTGAATTAAGAATGCTGGATCTTTTCTCACAGTAGTTGCAGCAAGAGTCTGTTTAGCTTCCAATCATCAACCACCTAGTAAGTGCATTTGGTACAATTTACATATGCAATAATGCCTGCTACATTAATAAATGTGGAAAAGTAATATCAATGTAATAAATGTTCTAGTCCTTTCTTATCATACTAGTGAGGTATGTGCCTTCACAAATCAATTAAGTTTCATGAACTTGCAATTTTATTTTATGTAGCGATAATAAAATGTACCTCTGACAGAGAAAGGAAAGACAAAGGGCTGGGGGGGGGGACTTACAGATACAAGTGACATTTCTCTTTTAAAGTGAATGATCTCTGCCTTTCCATCTCTTCCTGTCCACCTCCACTTACTGTAAGATACTGGTCCACATGAGGGATCCAGTGGAAACTTAGGCACAGGGGGATTAGTGAAGGCAAAAGAACAAGAAGCACTTGGTCAGCCATTTGTTCTGCTCACAGGCAGATTAATGCTTCTGTGTAGGACTGGCATTTATAGACTTGATATACTTGACTCCTCTGTTTCCTTCCCTTCAAATATAACATCTAGATTTGTCTGATTTTTAAACTGGGTTATTTGAATGTCAAACTTTCGATAACACTTTTAATAGAGGTGTCCATTAACCCGTGTTAAATTAGAGCTCTTCGTCTCGGGAAATACATGTGACACCCACATGAATACCAAATGCCTTCATTAGGTTCTGCCCTTACACACTGAATACCAAATGCACAGCCCAACTCGGGGACACAGTCTTCCCTCTCATGAGTTGCCAACACATGTTTGTGTTTCCTCAGCAGTACCAGTCAGTCCCGTTTGTTGTTTGTGTTCAGGTGATGGGATGTGGCAACTGTAGCTTTAGCTCAAATAAACAAATGGCACCGCAACCATCAACTGCAGAGACAGAGTCACAAGGAGGCTGCAGAAGCTCATCCCTAAGTCAGTGAGAGGACCCCACTTAGCATGCAAGATGAATTCTGAACACTTCATAAAAGACGATAACTTTCTTTGACCAATGAATATATTATTTATAAGTGATTCCAATGCCTTCTTCTCCCTCTCATTCTCTGCCAGTCTCCCAGCCCCCCATTTTCACAGTATGTTGTAGCACTTGTTCAATGATGAAAACTCTTAGGATAAATAATTTATAAAGCAATTTACAAGTATATTATTTTTAGCCATAAGACCTGGAAGAACACACACACACACACACACACACACACACACACACAGAGTGTGGCTTATAAGTATCAATGTATTAGAACACCAATAAGTGTGTATGTGGAGGAGTTGGGTTGAAGTCATAGTACTGGGGTCCCTGCACATGGGCCACTCAGAGCATGTGGAGGTCATGTCGTAATAATCACGAGAAAACACACTAAGAATCAATGATTTTCCTCTTTGATTCACAAGGCCTTTAGAAGGAGCCTAAATCAAGATATTTCCTTTAGATAATTTTGAGCATGCTTACTGAGCCAGAATCAGTGTTAAGAGTTTTCCATGGATTATCTAATTGCCTCCTCCTGGCCTACATGGGACATGTGTTCTTATGACTGCTATTTCATGGAGATAAAGAAACTGAGGTGTCTTCTGACCTTCACTATTTTCTCTTTCAACTCCCAAACTAGTTAAAGACACTCTTCCCAGAAATCCTTCAAATGCTAAGATTCAAAAGTATTGGTCTACTGCTGTTGTGTGTCAAGCTTTTCACTGAGAGCTAGGGTGCATAGGCAGATCACACATGTGTGGCAGGGCTATCCAACAGAAATGGCAGGCAAATGACAGATATTAGCCACATATAACTCCAAATCTTCTAGTAGTCATATCACTTTAAGAGAAGGAAGGTAATGAAGTTAATTGCAAGGGAATATTTCACATAATCCCACATATCATAACTATTCTTTAAACCTATTATTTAGTATGAACATTATTAATGATATTTCACATAATTTTTTGTACTGTTCTCTAAAGGTGGTATTCATTTAATACATAGGACATATTTAAGCTCAGACTAGAAACACACTGGATGTGGCTAGTGGCTATGGGCCAAGATAGATGTCATAGGTCTATAAGCAAACTTTGGAGGAAAATGGCCCCAGAAGAAATTGTCCACTAGGGTGTGACATTTGCATGAGATAGCTAATCACTAGATGGGTATCAACCTGATGTACAGGGACATTCAAAAGCTAGGAAGGAATATATGCACACCAGGTGAAATAGGGGAGACTGGAGGGAGTCAGATCAGGAACTCATCTGAGCAGGCTGGTGTGCTCCTAACTCCAGGCATGCTCTTTCTCTCTTAATCACTCATTCTCTTTATTATTTTATTGAAATTGAGCTACTGCAGTCACGCACACGCACGCATGCGTGTGTGTGTGTGTGTGTGTGTGTGTGTGTGTGAGGATTCAAGATGATGATGCCAAATGCCTTATTTAGTCTCTACCTTACATTTTGTTTTATGAAATAGGGTCTCTTACTGAGCCTAGAGCTCCCTGAGTCACCTAGAGTGGGTGCCCAGCTGGTTATAAGCACCCTCCTTATCTGCCTCTCCAGAGCTGAGATAACAGACACAGACCCTTGCTCTTGGCTTTTTAAGTGGGTGCTCAAGATTAAACTCAGAAACTCATGCTTATGAGGCAAGCATTTGACTGACTGAGCCATTTCCCTGGCTTCTAACTTTATTAGCATTTTACTTAATCCTTGGAACTTTCTGATACTCTCATTAATAGAAGAGTAGAATTGATTGTTATAAATACATTAACTATAAATCAATATACAAATATAGACAGCAAAGTTGTTAAGCCCTAAATATGTATGCTTAGATTTGGCATGTACTTTGTCATTGTTTTGTTTTTAAAAAGAGATAGATCAAAGAGGACATTTCTGCTTTGAGCTGAGATGTGAGATGGAGCTGGGGTGGGAGTATTTATCTCAGAAATGGAAACAATTGGAAAATATTTCCAACACCTATAAAGTGATAGTTTTCAAGATGTGAACAAGAAAGAGGCACCAGAAGACAGTATTCTAAGAGGCTGTAACAAATGAGGTAACCTCTAAGGTTGCCCCAGCTTCCTACCTTGGGGAGAGTTGACCCTCCAGTGAGTGCTGCTCTGATCAAACCCAACAAACCTAAGAAGCAAGGTTAAAGAGGACTAGGCCATTTCCAACTAATTTGGTTCAGTCCACAACAAAGGTGAAGAATATTTATAGATATATTTTCTAAACCACTGTACTGCATTATAGGAAGGAGGGGTCCAGGTGGGTTCCGAGAACTCTCCAAGCTGAAGACACAGAGTTGAGTATCAAGGATCAATAGAAGATTGATCCAGTCCTAAAGAGAAACACCTCATACAAAGATGATCTCAGCACCTGGAATCACACACCTATAATCCCAGCACTAGAAGGGTATAAAAGATAGAAGCAGGGTCTTCATAAGTCAGTATCAGGCATTCATTCTGCAGTCACTCTGAGGAGAGGCAGCAGTTTGAAGCCTGGTGAAGAGCTCATGGATCAGTCCTTTCAGCCTGAGGTCGTGGTAAGAGCTATCAGCCCACTACATTTGCTTTGCTGAACTTCATCTTGAAGTTTGAACCCCAGTATCAATCTCTGGGTCTTTTTTTTTCCTGCTACAAGTGAAAATGAGGAAGAGGGGAGAGAAAGGGGGAGGAAAAAAGAGAACAGAGGAGAGGAGAGGAGAAGAGAAGAGAGGAGAAAAAATCCCCAGGTAATCCTCAGAAGGCTGACCTCAGGCATTCATCTGGTAGGGATGAGCCATGGATGTGATCAAGAAACCAGTTAAAAGTATACTAAACTGAGACAGGCTGAAACAAGGTCTGTTCCCACCAATCAGCTAGAAGATCTCAAGATTCAGAGGTCATTAGGCAAAATACACGCATGGGAACTCACATCTCAGAACAAACCCTCAAAGGTCCACACATGTTTCAAACAACTTAACCTAATCCTAGATTGGAACTAAAGAATATTTATAAGAATAAATAACAATTTGGAGTTGGTGAGAAGGCTCAGTGCATAAAGACTATGGCTGCCAAGCTGAACAAAATGGGTTTGATTCCTGGGACCCATAGGATGGAAAGAGAGAATCACATTTTACAGAGATGACCTCTGACCTCCACATGAGCACACTGACACAAGCAACTCTTCCCACACACATACAAAATATATAAACAAATATTTAATGGTTTTGGGAAAGAATAAAATCTACAACATCAGAAAAACCTACAACATCTAAGATAAAATCAGCAATGCTTTAAATCATATCAGAGATTACCAGGCTTATAAATGAGCCAAGGGTGACTATGATGGGCAGAGCAATCAGTTTACAACGGTCCAGTTCTGACACAAGCACTGTGCCAAGCAAATACACTAGTTATGAGAGCTTTATTCTTCCAGTCAAATGAGAATTCTATAATTAGAAAGCTCTGTTGGATTGATAGTACTTTGAATGAGAGTATCTGCAGACGAAACCACAATGAACACTTAGACATGGCAACAGAGACCATCCAAAGGGAACAGAGCACACACAAGTTGTGGGAACACTTTTAAGAACCCTGCTCCAAACCACTGCAGAGTAAAGAATGCTTCTCCATGATTCTGTGAGAGCAGTGAGGCCAGTGCTACTCGGCACACAAAGCCAGGCACCAAAGGAGACTCACAGCAACTTTGCTCACAAATAGAGATATGGAACCCTAAATATTTCAGTAAGTTAATTCAGATCTTTGTCACTCCTTGCTTCCCTTGATCCACCCTACTCCTCCCTTTCCTCTTTCCTCCCCAAGCATACTGCTTGGCAATTATAAGGAATACACCATTGATGAGGAACTTAGTGTAAATGTCAAAATCACAATGCTAAGGGAAAGAAGCAACTCCTCCCAATAGAATAAACAGATAAAACCCATAAACTTCTTGAAAATCTGAACAAATTCAGAGTGAGTGAAAGCAAACTTGAGGTTGCTTGGATGTGAAGTGGTGATTGAAGTTTGCAAAAAGAAGGAATCAGGACAAAAATGACTTCTGGGCTGATGTATGTATTTATTTTGGACTTTATGGGATTTGGGAGTTTCAGAAATGTATTCATGTTTTCAAACATATCAATGATTTAAATCTCTTAAGCTTAATCTATATCAGTTACACAAATAGCAATTTTTAAGATTTATCTATTTAATTTTATGTATATTCCTGGTACCAGTGTAGGTCAGAAGAAGGCACTGGATTCACTGGAACAGGAGTTACATACAATTGTGAGCCTCTGTATGGGTGCTGGAAATTCAACCTGGGAACTCTGCAAGAACAGCCAGTGCTCTTCACTGCAGAATCATTTCCCAGTCCCGGATTTTTTTCAAGAGAAATTTACAAATGTTCAGTAGTTCAGTGGTATTTGTCTAAAACCAAGCTGTGTCCTCCATATATTTAGAAACAGAGGGAAGGAATGCATAAAGACCTGTCTCTTTCTTATTACAGGAGTTGGTGTTTCTCAAGAATCAACCACTCTCTTCAGTCCACTTATAAAGTTTGGTCACAGCTGAAAAACCCTGGGCAACTTGCACAAAATGGAAACAGACATGCAGGATCTCCTTCACAAACAACAAGACAGCCATTTGTTTGGAGGAGCTCATATGGGAATGCTCTTGCAGAGATTCCTCTCCTGAGCTCCTAGAGGCCTAGCTGAGGTGGTTTTACTTGATTTTGGTGTGTCTGGTAGTCCAAGTTTGTGTTTATTCCTTTGGCGTGTGAGAACTATAGAACTCCGTAAATTAACCCCCCTGGATGCCCCTTCCCTCATAAATAGTACAGAACATTAACAACTGCTTAGTTCACTGATTTGGGATTTATTTATATAAAGCAAGTCTTGTCCTTTTTAAAAAATCATCCTCTTAGTGTGTAACAGGGTCTGAAATGATAGTGTTTTAGCTTCAGTTTGATACTTCCAATACTGGCCACTGCTTGCTTTCTAGTCACATAGAGGGAATGTCTTTTCAGTACCTCTCAAGGTACTAAGGACATCACTGTTCACAGAGAAGGCCCTCCATGTAGGAAATATCAACAAATTTGGGGACATACCTATGTCAGGACTGCTTAACTAGCCTTCATTTTAAATATGTTCATTTAAGTTCTTAGATCAAGGTCCTGGCATCCTTATGAAGTGACTGTCTCATCAAGTACTTGCTAACTTCTAAGATGATGAGGAAAGTTGTCATGGCATGTACACTAAGCACAGAATTCTCCCCAAGTTCACTGTTTCAATCAAAATCAAGCTAACTTTTTCTGCAGGTAGTCAGGTAGAGACTTGCTGGGTTTAGGGGGAAAAATAAGCCAATAAAATGTTCTGTCTGATCTGCCTTGGTGAACCAAAGTCTTGGCCCCAGGAACTGGCCCCCAGGAAGGGTCCAGAAAATACAGTTAATAATAAATTACAAACGTGGCTGTAGCAACTATGGAGAGACCCTACATTTTTCCACTCAGCCCACATGCTCACTCTCTGGCCCTCTCTACCCCATGGGCTTAATAGGCATCAAAGTGAACCAAATCCGATAAAACATTTCCCTAAGCTAGGTGAGAGCGAGTTCAATGGTTCATTCTCATTCATTCTCTTTCCCTTACTCCCGAGGAGCAACTCAGCAGAGCCCACAGGAACAAAGGGAGCAGCATTTCAGAGATTCAATTCTTGTCCTCTTCCTGTTGCTCTGTTAGTCAGCCCATTCCCCCAAACTCACTGAGGCTTGATGGTAAGTGTCATTTGAAAAGTGACACCTTGTTGATAGTCTTGACTGCCTCTGTGTTGGCCATGCAATCTGGGACCTATGCTATGCTTCCCAGATATGCTGATAGCTGCATACAGCAAAGAATACTAATTCATATACACAGAAAATACTAATTACATACAGAAGACTGAGGGCCCTTCAGTGTGTGAAGTAGTTTGACTGAGACTTTCTCAGGACTGTGCTATAGTCTAAACTTTTGTCTCATGTCCCTTCTTTCCTCTCCTCCTTCCCTCCTTTTATTTTTCCACAGTCATTCCCTGTGAAACAGATAACTGTGCATAAGACTCTGCCTTCTCAGACAACCCAAACAAATGAAAGTGATTCTAAGCTATCTGATAGGGCTTGAAGACAATCTCATTTGTTTTCCAGGTGTCCCAGAGGATATCATCTTGAATGGCATGAGGGGACAGAGATAAGCCCTGGTACATAGTAGGATACATATACTATAGTTACCTGGTACAGAGGGAAAATACTTGCAGTATAACTTATACATTTGAAAACCATCAATGGAATGATGCCGAAATTAAAAAAATAATAAAAACAATAGTTTAGTAAATAAAAATGGAAACAGGGACTTGAGCCTGAAATAGTTGGCTTATTTTCTAGGCAAGTGATACATTGGTGGCTTAAATGGCAGAAATCCCAAGAGTTCTGAATACCATGCTTCTGAGATGGAGTATGGCCTCTCTCCTTGTTTCGTCTATTTGTGTATCATCACGTGGCTTTTCCTTCTCTTCATGCTCCGCTGTGTCTTTTGTGCTCAGATTTCCTCTCAAAGGTATGGTTATATTAGAATCTGCCCTAATGGTCTTGTTTTAATTCCCTCTTTTATAACCTTACCTCTAATAGGACCCTGTTCTGAGAAGCTGGGAATTAGAACTTTAGCATAGGCATTTGGAGGGAACACAGTTTAGGCTGTGATAGCTATTCAGCAATTGACTTGGTAGTTTGAGAGTCTGGGGTCCGGCAGGAGGGTGGATTTTCATTTTTATTTTTTCTTATTTAAATTTAAATTAGAAACAAGCTTGCTTCACATGTCAATCTCAGCTCCCACATCCTCCCCTCATCCCTTAGTCCCCTGTCCCACACCAACCCCCCCAGCCCTTCCACCCAATCCCCACTCTACTCTCCAGGGAGGGTGAGACCCTCCATGGGGGATCTCCAGAGTCTACCCATATCATCCAGGGCAGGGCCTAGGCCCTCCCCCATGTGTCCAGGTTGAGAGAGCATCTCTCCATGTGGAATGGGCTCCCAAAGTCCATTCAGATGCCAGGGATAAATACTGATCTAGTACCCGAGGCCCAAAGATTGCCAGGGCCTCCTCACTATTTTTAAAGGCACTCCGCTCTCATTCCATTGGAAAGCATCAACCATGGAGAAGGCACCATGCAACCGAGACTACTCCACTACCTATCTAGCTGATATCAGGCAGCTACCATGGTTAGCATCACAGTAACAAGATGAACACTAGAATGAGTGCCCATCCTGCAGAGTTAGAAGTTACTATGCATACCACAGCATGGACTTCCACTTACTTATGTTAGTCTGGATGCCCCCACCCCTGTCAACAAAGGTGACCAACATTTAACACCCAGTATGACATTATTTTGGGGGAACAACCCAGCCATTTGTTAGCAAGTTGGCTTCATGTGGCCCTTTCTATGCTAGAGAGCTAAGCAAGTAGCCTTGTTAAGGGGTGACGTACTGACTGTGAGATACCCTCTTTGGCTGCAGGGCCTCAGTCATCATTCTGAATGGGCTTAGGGAGGGCCTGCTCCACAAGTGTAGGATTCCACACATCATCACACTCACAGATGATCCTGAACAGACACAGTGCCCTTCCAATGAGTGTTGGAACAAGACTCCTGTCCTTATAGCTTCCTAGGATGGACAACATCATCTTCAAACTGCTAAGTCAAATTTCATACTTCCTAACCTTCCTTTCTTCCTCTGACCCTTTGAAGTGACCAGCTCTGTGTCATAGTTAGAAAGCCCTCTACACCTTCTCTAGCCCTCTCTCTTCCAACTCTTTAAGAATCCAGTGCTAGCACATGCCTTTTGGAGGACTGGAATGAACACAAACCCTGGCCCTATTGCATTGTGTCCAGAGCTTCCAGGATCCAGGGGCTGCTGCATTTTGACCTCTGCCCTTTTATTACCCTGAGTGACCCTCCTTACAAGGCTAACTGTGACTATGCCAGATGTATCATGCCAGATGTATCAATGGAGAAGAATGCCCTCCTTTCTTTAGACAGCACGCAGTAAGATAACAACATGCCTTGGATCACCTGACGGCTTAGTAAGGTCACAGATCCTTTCTGACATGCCTGCTACAATTACACTTTTGGCTCAGGCGAGATTTTTAAAAAAATGTACTAATGGACACATTCAACTTATTTTAAAAAACTGGATTTTGTGATAGTAGCAGTTAGAGTTTTAGACATTAATCCTCCGTGACTTCGTATTTCAGGCTTTGGTAATGTGTTCCAAATGTTATGGGTCTTGAGTTTCAATGAAGCCTGAGCTGATAGTTTCCCTTCTAGGAAAACCAGAATACTAAAGTGTCTCCCTGTTACATTTTCTGTGTTTTAAAGATGTTTCACTTAAGGAAAATAAACACCCAGTGGTATTAAGCATCAATCAAGGGAGCCATAAAACACATGTAGTTGCCTTATTTGCTGTGCTTATGAGCTGTCAATTACTTTGAGTCTAGCTAACCTCAAATGTTTGAGGGTTTCCAAAGAACAGTGTTTCGCTGAATTCACCATAAGAAACAACTCCCAACTCCACTTCCTTCTGCTACTCTCCAGAGTGATGTCTATCAAGGTAGCAAAACAAAGTTGATAAACCTTTTCCTTCACATATTCCTGAGAACATACTTGATTACATTGACATTTCTTGTACAACTCTTTTTGTTTGTTTGCTTTTCTCCATTTATTTTCTTTTTCTGCCTGGCACCTTTTAGGTGATCATGCTGCCTCTTTCTACAATGGAGGTATGCCCCCTGCACTTTTGTGACTCTAGAGGTCTCCAAATAATTGATTCTTAAGAGCAGGGAATCAATATTTTTTCTTGTGATTCTTGTCATCCATGCACAAAATAGGGCAGGGAACCAGGGAGTTAGTTTTATTTATTTATGTGTGTGTGTGTGTGTGTGTGTGTGTGTATACATGCACATGTGTTTGAATAGTGATATGTACCAATGTAAACGCTGGTTTATTTTATATTTTAAGAGAAGGAGATAAATGGATGAGAGAAATCTTTATGCTATACATACACATCCACAAAGCAGATCATTTCAAAATAGCTTTTTTTCATTCAAGTATCTTTATCTTTGCCATCTAGACTTTATTGAAGTTTCTATATCCAGGGAATCCTGGCAGATGAATAGTTTGGGTGTTTATTTTTTTTAAACTGAAGAGCACACATTTTACTTCATGTCTGAAGCAGATAACTAGAATACAATTCTACTGAAGCTGTAGGTGTTCATTATCGGGGTTCTGGCTTTCTCTCCCATGCTCTTCCTCTTGCAGAAAAATCACTGTAAAGAGTATGGACAGTAGAGCTAGAACCTTGTGGCCTGCAGGAATCTCCCATAGAGAGTGAATGATACAGATTGAAAGTACTCAAAAGATAGGCTTCATGCTTTTTACTCTTCAAGCAATCCTATTGCTGTGAAGCTGAGGCCAAATGTTCAGGCAAACACAGTATCTGCTTCACTGTACTTCTCTGTCATGTTGCCTTTTGATCAAAATAATGCTAGAAGGTCACTCCCTTGATCTGGTTAGCATCAAGATAAGGTCAGGCATTAATTAATGTTGAATTACCAAAGAATTCCTATGGAAATGCATATGACATCTACATTATAGCCATAATTAGCTAATTAACCAATCAATTATAATGATTAATGTGATAATAATGAATGTATGGCAAATGGTTATTAATTCCTAGCATTTCCAAAGTGAATACATTAATCACAGTTGGATCTATGGTTTAATGTAGGTGCCTGATTGTCATTCTGAACTCTAGGTGTGATATAA